AAAAAAAAAAAGAAAAAAAAAAAAGTGGACAAAGGTATGACTTAGGCGTCTGATTCGTCCGGGATAGGTATAAATATACACCCGTCGAGTTGATGAAAATCAATAAGCTGCAAACCCTACGTCCAAGGCGGTGATTCGCATTTCTACCCAGTCGCGCTGCGTGTCAGTCAACGAGCACTGATAGAATGATGGCCTGACGGGTTCAGTGGACCTTCATGTGGCGGGTCGGACTTTTTCGGCCGTGGGAAAGTTGAGCCCCAGTTGTCATCACTTGAACACTGCGCACTGTACGAAGGGAGTATTGAGCTGCACTTGTACGTACGGACGGACACCGAGGTTGGGAACCTGGGACGTGGTCTACTAAAGCCTACACTGTAATACACTGTACACAGAGGTGCAAAAGTATATCGTACCTTACCTCCTTTCTGTCAACCTAGGCACGGTACCTTATAAGTTAGGTAGATACACAAACTTGTACGTACTTCGTACATCGTGTTGCTTCCGTCTCCACCCAATGTCTGCAACCTCCTGTAACGGAACTGGGTTGCTCCTGCATTCAGAAAGGAAGTTGAATTTATTAGGGGCCCTTTATTAGTACCCGGTACCTTCCCCGTTCTGAGTACTCCGTCGGTTATTGCAGGTACGGGCCGTCTGCCTCGCATCTCCTCACTCTCTCCTTCCTCTCGTTTTCACACGCTTTCGTCTTCATCATATACCCGGTTCTTACAGTGTAACGCTAACAGCTTACGGATACGTTGTACCTGCCATTTCTCCTGTCTACCTTACCTACCTACCTTAGTCACCGTCTGTTCCTTTTCCTCCTCCCATCTTCATCTTTTCCCCTCCCTTTACCATCGTCACGTCTCGTCTTCACTATCCGATCTTTTTTCCCCTCCTTTCTTTCCTACCCTTTTCTTGGTTTAATCTCTTCCTAGCCACAATATTCCCTCTCTCTCTATTCTGACTTTCTCGCCCTCTGTTAATCCGTCCATCCCCTCCATTCGACAACACGCTTTCTTCTTCCCGTGGCTCCATACGTTGCCACTGTCCCTCGCTTGACCATTCTTCCCCGTATCGTACACGCGCAGGGAACTACTATTAATCCATCTCGACACACGACACATAATACAAAACATACGACAACGATACCATCCGTCGAGGAGATACATCACATCAGCACCCCCCACATTCAACATCACGAGGCTTCAAACCTGTCGAAGCCGACCATCAACCCTCACCCCCGAAACTTCCTCCTTCAGCATGCTTTCGCTACCATGAAATTCAAACTCCCCTCCCAGAGTCGCCCCGCGAGGACTCTGTCTACCGCAGCCGTCATCGCCATCCTCATCTTCCTCATCCTTTATCGCCTCGAGGATACTGGCCATCCCCTCGACTTCGCTTCCTCGGCCTATACTTATGGCTTCGGTAGCCAAGAAGATACCGCCTCCGCAGCCGCCGATGCCCAGCAGCCCGGCCATCACACCCCTACTGGCGCTGCCATGACACACCCCGCCCCGACCAACTGCCCACCTCCCGCTTTGAAGCACCTCAAGAAACCCGAATTGGGCCTGACCGACAAGATTACCTACTCTCGCCGCTGCATCAAGCCCGTCTTGTCCACCTCCATCGACCGCGACGTCGTCGCCAACATCTCTGACCCGCTCTTCACCTCCAGGACCGAAATAGACTTGACCTCCTGCGACGTGCCCATCCACCTCGACAAATGCGACCCGCTGCCCCTCCGCGTTCCGAGCCCTTACCCCAAGTCTACATACCCTCATCTCATCTTCGGCGTCGCCACGTCGTATCAGCGTTTCGAGGAGTCCCTCGCATCTTTCTCCTTTTGGCTTTCCGGCTCCCGCGCCAAGATCGTGGGAGTCGTGTCCGACGCCTTCGAGAAACCCCGCGACCTGGAGGCCCTCGAAGCCCTCTACGCCGAGTACGACATCGAGGCCCGCTTCATCAAGCCTATGCGCGCCTCCCTCAGCGTGTCCGAGAACCACTTCACCATCATCCGCGATCTTGTCCGCGAGGCCAAACCCGAGACCCAGTGGATCGGCATCTTGGACGACGATACCTTCTTCCCTTCCCTTCACCGTCTCTCCACCGCCCTCGATACCATCGACCACACCCAACCCGCCTACGTCGGTGCCCTCTCCGAGGACTTTAAGGCAGTCCGCAACTTTGGATACATGGCCTTTGGCGGCGCTGGTGTCTTCCTCTCTCCGCCCCTGGCCCGTCACCTCGAGCCCAAGCTGGAGAAGTGCCTCGACGAGGCCAAGTTCCACGAGGGCGATGCGCTCATTCGCGACTGCGTCTACCGGGAGTCGCACACCAAGCTCACCCTGCTTCCCGACCTCCAGCAGATGGATCTCGGGAAAGACGCGGCCGGCTTCTACGAGGGTGGTCGCAATCCCCTGAGCCTGCACCACTGGAAGAGCTGGTACCACTCCCCCGTCACCCTCATGTCCACCATAACCCATGTCTGCGGCGACTGCTTCCTGCAGCGCTGGCGCATGGGCGAGAAGACCGTCTTCACCAACGGCTACTCCGTCGTCGAGTACCGCGACGGCCTCCGCCACCTCGAGCTCGACAAGATGGAGGCTACGTGGTCCGCCGCCGATAGCGGCTACGACTTCAGCATCGGTCCTCTGCGCAACAAGATGCCGCCGGAGAAGAAGAAGAGCTACAAGCTGCTCGATGCCGAGGTCCTCCCGGACGGCGGTCTCCGTCAGACCTATGTTTTTAAGGGCCGGAAACCCGAAGATCAACACGAAGTCCTCGAGCTCATCTGGGAAGGTTCCCGGACGGGCGTGTTACGGAGTAAGCCGGGTTAGGAACAACATGGCCTGTGCTTGCTTTATCGAAATCCCTTTTTTGTCTATTTATGTTGTCACTGTTGTTGATATCCTGCCCATTTTCCTGCATGCCTCATCATTTTCGAACCCAAGGGCGGCGTTGGAAGGCCTGTTGCATTTAGGAATACTCACGATTATAATGTCCCAATCCTCACACTCACACTCATCATCATCGGCGTCATCACCCCCCCACCAAACTTTTAATTGGCTTCTCTGTTGTACTAGATGGGACGTGTAGATCATTCGGGGCCTAGTGTGTTGCGCATTTTGCTTTCAAGACCATGATATTTGGGAGGTTGCCTATGATAAAAGATTGGTTAATTGGGGGGATGACAGCTCTCGATAGGAGACATTCCTAGCTCAGGGGCATGGCTCCAGAGGAATGTAATTTAATCAAGACCAACATCCCAATGACTGCTGAGGTCAGACCTCTGGAATGTGAAGGATGACGGGGACAATGTTTACCTGAACAGACGAACAGACGATATAGACCGCATATGAACCGGCAGAACGCAATCAATCGATGGCTTTCCATAGAGTTCCCGCTCCCCCAACGGCCTTCTTTCCGACGAGTTGCCCGTCCGCCTCCATCCCACGATGCACTAGACCGACGACCGTATGCCGTTCATCACCGCCGCTCACACGACCGGCAGGAGTCGCGAGGAGAGCCGCTCACCCAGTGCGCCATGGCTATCCCGCTCATCCTCGTACGAGTCAGCTCTTCCGTCTCCTCATGCGGCCTCGCCACGCCTGCAGTCAACCGCGAAGCAACCATGGCCGCCCGTCACTTACATCCCGCCGCTGATTGATGGCGCCTGTGGCACCGTGTCCGCCGAGCAGAAACCGACGACCCCTGGCCTTTTGGGTGAAGATCTGAAGGAGATTTGGGCCATTGTTCCCAAGATCGCAGCCGGGTGGGAACGGAGCCGGCACAACAACTGCGATATCGTGATTCAACTGCGAGACCTCTTCCTCCAGGTTGTATTGAGCGTGGTGGAGGTGGGGATCCTGGCGCTTGCCGTACCCCTGTGGATGATGTTGCCTGGCGTAGTCTTCCTCGCATGGTTGTGCTCCTCCATGTCTTGCGTCCTTGGGCTCAGCTGGTTCCTCAATGGCGATGATATGGTGGTGAACTACGATGGGTCCGGAAGCTGGACGATGGAGCCCGAGGTGGAAGAAGAGCGCTGGATCTTCATCGGTGGCATGGGTACCAGGTTCGTTCCTCTTCTTTTCCATCCGTTCCCGCAGCACTTGAGAAGAACGCTTCAGGTGTCTGATACTATCCGAACGATACAGCATCGACCGCCTTACCCGAGACACCCTACCTTTGCTAAGCCGGCTCTTCGGGCACCCAATAACAGGAGTCCACTCGCCGACCTACGGCCTCCCGTTCGACCTCCTCTTGCTCGCACTTCATCGGACCTTCCCGTCCTTCCCGTCGCAGTCGAAGCGTGCCCTGTACAGTGAGCTCCGCAGTTCGCTCCTCGACCGCTCCATCAGCCGCGTCGTCGTCCTCGCGCAAGGCACGGGCACCGTGCCGGTATCTTCCGCCCTTTCCCGGCTTTGCGCTGACATCCAGGCCGAGAAACTGGCCAAGCTCGAAATCTACACCTTTGGCGCCGCGTCGCGCGAATTCGTCGTGCCTCTCGGCGAAAGGAAGAAGGGAGCCCCGACCAGTGCGTCGCGCCATGAGGAGGCCGCGGTTGAAGACAGGAGTGGTGGGCCTCACATCGAGCATTTCGCGTTCGTCACGGATCCTTTCGCCCAGATAGGCGTCTTGCGCGCTATATACCGTGATTTGGACGTCCGGTTCTGCGGCGACCTCTTCGTGATGCGGAATCACCCGCAGCCTTCTTCGCAGGGCCACCTCTACCGACCGACGGGGCAGTTATCCGACTACCTGTGTGCGCTGTTTCCCGCTTCCTTGCTCGGATGCTGCGACCCCGGGCGGGCTAGCATTCTCGACTACGTTATGAGTATTGACCGCGACACGGCGGAGAAACGGGAGCTGGCGGCTATGGAGTCCTATGCTGAGACGAAGCGGAGTAGTCTCCGCCTTCGAAAGAATAGGCGCAGCTGGACGGGACTCGGGGCTACGGTGGGGAGTTGCAAGAATGGTGTCATGGATGGTGTTGTTGGGTTGCAGATGGCGAGGAAGGGGTGTCGGGATTGTGATGGCCTTCGTGGGCGTGACGTGAGTCGCCTGGCTGCACATGTTCGTGGCGGGGGTGGTTGTTCTTGGGTCGGAGGGGATGCTTGATGATGCCCCGAGGTTGGGGCAGGGCGGTTGAGGGAGTTGTACGGCTCTGACGGTGTCTTTTTCTCTGTCCTGGCAGTTGGGAGTTTGAATTGTGGCGTCGTGGATTGCTGTGTTGAATTAATTATATTTATAAATATTCATCGGTTTGACCCATATAGAAATATGAGCCGATTCCTCATAGTTATAGAGATATTTTTAATAACCGTATGTTTTGGTGTTGCTCCCAGCAGCGTGACCCAAAGACAGCTATTCATGGTCTGTCTCAACGAGAGGTCCAAATACCACGATCCTCGTGATTTCTGGGGACTTTTGTAAGGGGACAAGACTAAGGCAGTCTCCCTGATCATATGCTCATGATTGAGCGGCAATCGTATACTCCCCCTGCCCACCGTTGTTAAACCCATGGATGACTTTTCTTCTTTCTTTCCTTTTCCTTGTCAATTGCTGAGCGCATCCCATCCCATCGTATCGAGGCTCAGGCATTCCGGCATACCGCCAGCGAGCTTTTGGCCGCCTCGAGACAAGCAATAAGCTGCGCCGATGCCTCCATGTGCTCCCTCGTCGGGAAGTTTTCCCGCCGGTGAAACATCTGCGCCATCTCCAGGCACTTGACCAGCTGGCCCTCCAGCCCTCTGTTCGCCGACTGGGAGGCCACGGCCAACTTGACGAAGCCCAGGTCCTTCTCCACCTTGGTTAGGCTCGTCGATTGCTGGTCCTGCGCCGCGTCGGCACGGTCCTGCTTGGCTGCCAGCTGTGCCAACTGAGCGCGCATCTCTCGGATGGCCGATTCTTGCTCCTGGAGCCGGGTGTTTTGTTCATTGACTACTTTCTCGTACTCGGTTATCCGCCGGCCGGGGTCGTCGTTGTTCTCAGTGCCAGCACAGGGGGCCGCTGTTGTGGCTGGGACGGGAGGGTTGCGTTCGAGAGAGTCGACGCGACTAAAAAGTTCGAATACCCCCTCTCCGAAAGTTTCCATGTCACGGGAAAGGCTTTCGAGTTTCGCGAGTCGTTGCTGGTGGTCATCGAATGTGTCCCCGAAGGTATCATAAGTGCGACTACGCTCCTCTAACGCGGCAAGTCGATTGTCTCGAGCGTCCGTCTCTTCCTTTGAGACTCGTAGAGCGTCGTCGTTAGAGGAGGACCGTTCTTCGAGCGCCTTGAGACGCCGGTCGTGGTCCGTGGCCTTATCCGGCCAGGACTCCTGACGCTGACGGTGGGCTTCGAGACTGTCGAGACGCTCGACGAATGTTTTCAGACGGTCGCCGAGTTCTTTTTGAAGTCGGTCTAGTTCTGTCACTTTTCCGTGCCAGGCATCTTTGTCTGGGCGGCGTACGTCTCTGTCTAGGGATTCCAGACGCTCGTCGAAGCCTTTAAGACGCTGGTCGTGGTCTGTGACTGCACACTGTAGTGTTGCGCGTTGTGCGGCGCGTGTGTTCAGCTCTTTGATGGCGGCCTCGAGATCCCGGCTACAGAGACCCTGCCGGGCATCTCGACTTTTGGAAATTTCATCGAGCACGCCGAGCCGATCGTTGAGTTCTTGGAGTTGCCGGCCGTAGTTACCCATAGTCCCTCGTAGACCCTGTTGTGTTTGCCGATGTACGTCTAGTATGCCGAGTCGTTCATCGTGTTTTGTCAGAGTGGTTGTGACTGTCGTGAGCCGCTGGCTCACGTCAACGGTCGTCGAATCGATGTCGTGGATCTTGATCTTGTTCACGGTAATCCAATCTTGTATCTTGCTTATTTCCTCGAGCATCTCCTTGACAGTTTCGTCCACCCGATCTTCCCCGGCTTTGGTCACGTCTGTCCCCTGTGTTCCGTCTTCCCCGGCTCTCGGCTGGGCCGGGGGCTCGGCTGCCGCTTTATCCTCGTCTCGCTGGACCAAGCTTGTGAGAAGTTTGATTTGTTTGTCGTGTTCCCCGGTGCCGTCGTAGACGACCGATTTGCGATTGGTGATTGGCAAAACGCTTCTCAATCTCCTCGCTCGGCATGTGCTGCAGGCTATTCCTCCGGTTTGGGAATAGTTCGGTAGCCGCCTTGTTGTTGGTCTGCTGTCCGTTCTGCAGGTCGAGCGAACGTCTATCGGAAGACATTGGAGACAATGGGATGCTGTCCTTGTCCAAGCAAACCCGCTTCGGCGACCTGTCCTCTCCCTCCACAGCTATACCCTCCTCGTCGTCTTCGCTCTTGCAGAGAGGGCTGTTGGCCCGTTTCCGGGAGAAAGGCGATGTAGCGTTGGGTATGGAGTTGCCAATCGATGGGAACCATTCGAAAAACGGTCCATTCTGGTCATCCAGCAAGGGATCCAGATCCCGGATCATGAGCTCCCACCGCCGCTTCCGGGTCTGTATTCCCGTGGCGAGATCTTCCAGTGGGGGTAAATAACGCCCGTGGCGTCGACGAGCTGGCAGAGCAAACTGGGATTCGGATCACCGTTACCGGAGCGCAGGTACGTACGGCGCCGTCCGGACCAGTACTCGACCAAGTTTTTCAATTTCTCGGGAGTGCATGACTCAAGAGCGCAGGCATTGGAGACGAGGCCGTAGAATTTCAGAGGCTCCAAGTTTGGGTGGCCGAAGTGCAGCAGAGCTCGGAAGATGACGATGAGGTTGACATAGAGACGACGTTCAGCCGCGACGGGGCCAGCATACTTCCTGTTCAGGAGGATGGCATTGGCTTTGATGGGCGGGGTGCTAGGGTCTGAACACCCATGGAGGTCGCGAGGGTGCGAAGCCCGGGATGAGGTAGACTCTGTGTTGAGCTTCCACGGTCATTTGCACAGTGAGGTAGCTGTCTGTCTTTGGACTTGACCTGTTTGCGCTCCTGTTTATTCAGTAATGGCCTCTTCCAGATCGCCGCGCTCGAAGACGCATAAAAGCTGATACGAGAGAGCAAGGGTTGAATAAGGAGAGATGGTTAGGCAAGGATCTTGCAGAGAAGACTTTCAGGTCATGGGGAGGAGTTAAGGTAAGAGGTCCTGGAAAATGGTTAGCTTGGTAGATATATGCGACCTATTACTAGGCTCGAATGGCTGTCGTTTGCATTTGCAGTTGCGGTGGATCTCATGCGGGTGGGAGAGAAGAAAAGGAAAGGAAAGGAAAAAAAGGGGGAGGGGAGAAGAGATAAAACATTGAATATCTTGCTGGACTACCCAAGGTAGGTAGGCGAGGTAATTAGTGGCCTTGATTAAGTTTCGAAGTCGTGAAATCAATTCCGGATCTTTTGAAGGTACCTACCTAGGTAGGTAGCTAATTTGCGAAGTACTTTTCGTGCTAGCCAGGGTCTTATGCATGGGTTGGTACAACCCAAATCGTCGGGACATTTCTTCTTCATCCGAGGCTCTGAATAAGGTACCTGAAGCACAGATAGATTAAGTACTGGGGTACCTAATTGTGTACTTCATTAGTTCGTTACTGTAGGTACCAACACACAGTATGTACTTCGAAATCAGTATCCCGTATTATGCTGAGATAAGCAGCCCCCACGCATCGCACCTGGTCGGTCGCCGCATTTCGAGAACCTGTTCCCAGCGCCGACGATACATAATTACTCCGTACCTTAGTCCGTAATTTCCATCTGGACATAAATCGACACCAAGTCCAGGTCACACCATATCCGACATGTCTTCCTCCGAAAGTCCTGCCGCCGATGGTCCCAATACCAAGGGGCCCTGGACAGAGGAAACAAAACGTAAATTCGAGACGTACGTTCCGACCTTCCTGTTCGACATGCCCCCGGACCAAGAGAGGAAGACATCTCGTTATGGCTCAGGGTGCTGACCCAAACCATGGCTACTTTAGTAAGAGCAAGAGTCAGTACTTCGATCCCTGCCAAGATGCTGCTGCCCGCAGTATTAGGTGCTTGAAACGGAATAACGGCGACAGGGAAATGTGCGGCGAGTACTTCCAGTATGTTTTCTGACCCTCCCCCCGTTTGCAATCTTCGTCTTCTGTTCGCAATGCGCCTTGCCTTTGCCACGGCGCTGTAGTGCGACACGAATCATGATACTGACTGATGTGTGGTGAAACAGGGCGTATCGCGACTGTAGGCAAGCATGGGTACGTCCCCGTCCCCGTCCCCGTCTCTTCGACCCCCGACTCCAAGCACGAGACAGTCTGATAACCGCAAGCAGATGGATAAGCGAAGGGAAGAGAGAAGAAAAGCAGGCTACTTGTTCTGAGCGAACAAACAACGACAGACACCAGACAAACACCAGAATACGGGGCTGGGAGGATCTGGGGAACAGCTATGTGCTCCATGGGGAGTCGTCTTTGCCCGTCGGCTTCCGAGGACCTTCTACTTCCACATCCAACGATCCATGTGGCCACGATATCCATACGGCGCAGGTCTGTTGGAGAGAAATACGATATGTGTTGGCCGGACGAGGATCTTGTAATACCACGTGTATTTCTACATCTACAAGCTTCAGGAAGGATTACGAAGCGAATGACTTCAATTTCATGACTATTGGAAAACAAGGAGAGAAAAGACGGAGAAACAAGAGGATTTGCCATTGGTGCTCGTCGCTGCAGAATTCCGCCAGACACGCTGTTACGGACGCACCGCCACACTTTCGGACAAATGTGGCTGATACATTCATCCTAACCCTAAGAATCACATAAGGTAGCCTAAGGTACTTCCTTATCCTTGTACTCCGTACGTATGCGTAGTAATCCGCACTTCCCACGGAGTACATTGCATTTTCGAGCCCCTCCCTCCTTTCGTCCCGCCATGCCCGATTTCAAGCTTCGGTCTGCTCTCATCACCGATACTCAGGGCTTCCCTTTCATGGCCCAACCCCGGCCCAACTCAAGCCTTCACCATGTCCTGGAATAGGCCTCAGCTCAGGAGTGGTGTCGATTTACAGCTCCAGTCAGCCTTTAACGACGGCCAATGGGCTTCCGTCATCCGCCTTGCTGAGAAGCGTCTTCGGACCTTCAACGACCCGTACTTTGAGGTTTGCTCTCCCTGCCTCCTACCCACACCCTCTCTTGGGAATCAGTTAAAGGGCCAACTTCAGCTGATCACGTCGACGTCTCTGTCTAGATCGTCAAAATCTGCGCCGAGTGTCAACTGGACTCCCCCTTCGAAAAGTCTGCTGGCATCGTCGCCCTTCAACGTTTCGTCAATGAGGGCACCGTCGTCAAGGATGTCGATGCTCTCGACTTGCTCGAATGGGCCACGGGATCATTGTTGGATGATCAGGAGTTTTCCAGTACTCTAGGAACCCTGAAGGTTAGGCTTGTCAAGGCGAAACCCAAGGACCGTAACGGTGCTATCCGGTGTCTCGAGTCTTGTTTGCTGCACTGGGATCTCTTCAATGCCCAGCAGGTAAGTGAAAGTCAGCCTTGCACTCTCACTTTGCGTCCTTCTCATTCTTCTTCTCCCATGCCTCTTTGACACCAGCTATTATGCGACCATGCCCACCCCCCCCGTTGCTCACCCATTGTACCCAGATTGCAGCTATCCTAGATCGCTCCTTTCCCCATGACCGGACCATGCTCTTCTGGAATGTCGTCATCACATATTTACTCTGTGTCAGCGACCAATGCCCGCCGGACAAGAAGAAACTCTATGGCATGCTAGCCCTGAAGCAGATGCAACGAGCAGCCCAGTCCGCCTCGCAACCTGACGCCGGTGACTCGGATAGATCTATCCGGACCGAAGAGGAAATCCTGCTCTTCTATCGCATTCTTGAAACCCACGGCTCTGATGCCGACTGGACAGCCGCGCTGGGCCATCCTGAATTCGGCCCCGTTCCGCAGTTTCGCCTCGGTCGTAAGGACCTCCTCCTCCGCGTCCTGGACGTTTCGAGGCGGAAAGGCGACTGGCAGACCGTCTATGCGCTTTCCAAAGAGTGCCTTATCCTGTCGGGGAGCGACAATAGCCTCAAACTACTTGCTTGCGACTGGATGGTGTGGAAAGCATTGCTGGACGGCGCTAGCCATGTCATGGGAGAATCGCCTGAGTGAGCAGAATTCTTTATCTTCATGCCGAACCAAGGGGGAAAATGAACGCTTTGCTGAGAAACTTGTCCCAGGGTTCTCGATGATGTAGCCGCTTTGCTCGACACGTTCTCAGCTGCTGATGGTGTACGCCCCATCTACATACGGAATATTTTGCTGGCGAGGGTCGCTGCCGCTTTTCAGTTGGGGTCCGATGACCCCTCAGAGTCAGGGCCCAGAGGGGCAGCGTCTGCACAGGTCGAGGAGTTGCAGCGCTACGTCAGGAGCCAATGCTCGTCGCCAGCCTGCTTCGACGACATCAGGTCCTTCGCCGAGAAGCTGGAGCCAGACGAGCTGAAAAAGTTCGCCCATGACTACGTCCCGGGATTGGCCCAGGAGGCTGCCGGCGACCCTCTACGCTCAGCCACGATACGCACCCTGGCGTACCAGCTGCAGTATCTTGCCCTCACTCGGCCTGGTCTGGTACTGCCCATACCCGGCTCTCAGTCGAGCAGTTCAGCGGACCAGTGGAAGTGTGCCGTTACCGGCGTAGTCAGTAACTCTTCGTCATGCACGGAGAGGTTCCGGACAATTGCCGAGTCTGCCGCAAAATTGTACCGCATCCTCACCGAGTCGCTCATCCCGGAGGGTAACGGGCGGGATCCGGACTACGTACCCGAGCTCGCTATTCTGACAGCGACGGCTTTGGTCAAGCTTAGCGGCATCAGCGACAGCGGAAGTGTGAGGGAGCACCTGCCTTACCCAATCTACGCCGCACGATGTGGTAGACTACTTCAGGCGACTCTGATTCTCGAATATCAACTTTCCCGCACGCCAAAGCACAGCCGCGTCACTTTGCTTCTTGTTCGGCTTTACCTCGTCGTCGGATGCGCTGCCAGAGCCACGGCTTTGTGGGAGACATTGGACGTCAAGCGAACCATCACCGACTCGTTGAGCCCATATTTCCTCGACCGTCTATCGACTCTCTCTCCCATCCAGGTACTCCCGCAGTCCAGCCGGCCTGCGAAAGCCCTCACGAACGGCGTGAAGTCGTATTATGCCACGTCGCTTAAACTCCGCATGCCGCGCCGCTTGGCCGACGCCTTCGAATCCGAAAACTACACCAGCATTCTGGAGATCCCCGAGTTTATCAACCGTCTTCGTGTTAGCTGCACCATGGTGATGGGGTTTGTGGAAGAAGCACGTGCGTGCCGAGCTCTCGGGCAACGCGGCTTGCCGATATCCGAAGAAGTTCTCCTAAGTACGGGTTCCTGGGCATGTCTGGGCAATGTTGAACGACAGTGTAAGCTAACCTTGACCAGACGACATCACGGATGATGCCCAGTTGCACGAGAATACTGATTTTGGATCGGTCCCCAACCTGGAGGCCAGCATGGCTGTGCCCATATATGACATCCTCCGAATTGGCCCCAAGCCTTCTGTGAGTTCTTAGCTTCGACTCAGTCCTTGAGCCCTTTCGTTCTCTATTTCAGACTCGCTAATGCTCCGTAGAATGCCCGGTTCCACCTTGCTCTTGTCGCCGAGAAGTACTTCGAGTTATTTCAATACAAACCTCCGGCAACATACAAGGCGGCGAACCCCCTCCAGGCTGCCACCACCGATCGCATCTTCGTTTCTGAGACGTTACAGCAGCTCAGCAGCTCAGCCTCCCGCTTTCTTCGGGGCGCACGAAAGACACTCACGGAACAGGAACACTTCTTCTTCGACATCATCTCTCTCCTTACCGCTCTCATCTCCCTCATGACAAGTTCAGGACCTTCGCCTGAATCCTCCACTGCAGCGTCGCAGCTCGTTTCAGGCGTCACGGCGGCACTCGACGCGCTGTCCGATAGCTCGCTTTCACTCCCGTCTCCCGAGGGCGAAGGTGAAGGCGCCCTGATCCCGATGTTGAGTTCCATGCACGGTCTCTTCCACCTACGGGACGCAGCGGATGCGGTGAAACTCGCCACGAGCTATATCACATCTGTCCTAGAACCGAACAAACAGAGCAACACGACTAAGGAGGCCACGGAGGCATTGAAGACGCTGGATAAGGCTGGAGCCAAGGCCGCAGCGCTGGGAAAGAATAGGATTGCGGTTCTGAAGAGGGAGATGACGAACGGGAACCTTGAGAGTCGCATCGAGGCGTGGGCTCTCGGTTCTACAGCTGAAGACTCTTTAAGCAAGGAGATCCAGGGTATCGTGGGCGACAGGATCGGCAAGTCGATGGGGATACTAGCGGATAGTTGGAGGGTTGGCGTCAAGGGTTGGGAGTTGGTGAGGTGGGAATAAAATATGGTAGAAGGACGGCGGCAAGAAAAAAAAAAGCATACGATGATGATGGGGTTGATCCATCCAATGGCCCAAAACCGAGTGTCGGGTACTCGGAAGGGACGCTATACGACTTATTCCCCCATACGTTTTGTCTTCTCTCCTGTCTAGCAGCTTGTAATCTGGCCCTATTCACGTCAGAATCCGCCCTACTCCACGCTAGCCTTATCCCATTATCATGAATTCGTGAAATGTTCGATGCCTGCATGTTTGTCCTACCCCTGCTGGAGCACATGGTCTAGTTGCTACGCCCCTGACTGCCCCTCCTGCCTTTCAAACTCCGCCTCACCACCTCGGGCCTTTCCTCCCTGAGCGTGACCCAGACCCAGAACCAGCTGATCATCTCGATGAAAGCAAAAGTAAAGAATACCCTGTTCTTGAGCCCATCACCACCCCAGCCGGAAGCGGCATACCCCGGGTTCGGCACGTGGGCGGACGGATGCGACAAGTAGTTTGAGGTATCGGGGCGGTACAGCGGCGAGGAGGGACCGAAGAAGACGGTGTAGAGGACGAGGCAGAGGGAGAAGAAGAGTCGGAAGGGCGCTGGTGAAGGGATGTTAGTGGTATGGTTCTTCCTGATTTGAGGATTCGGTCGATGAGGCGTACCTTGGGTTCCCCAGTGGTAGAGGAGGGAGATTTCCTCGGGCATGGTCAGGGAAATCAGGTCGCCGAGGCCAATGAACGCGAACATGACGGAGAGGAAGGCGAGGCCCGGGGATCTGGTGTCGAAGGAGCGTGTAGTGGGCTAGCCGGGAGAATAGCCGTCAGTCAACTGGTCTGCTAGGTAGGTACCTTAGGCAAGGCAAGGCATGGCATCGTGCTATAAGGTTTGGGAAGATGGTGTGCTTACCATTCCCATTGACTCGCCCAGAATCCAGACAAGCGCCTGGTCAGCGATGGTGGCCGGGCTGGTGAGGAAGAAGAATGCTAATGTGAGGTGGAAGAGGGCGAGGGAGGTGATGATGGTCGTGGCGGAGATGAGCGCCATGATGTCGGCTGTGGAGAGGACAGAGAGGACCCCAGAGACTGCGTTGTTGGGCGATTATGGAGTATAGGAAGAGAACGTCCAGCGCACACACCCCTTCCGCTGCATATGTTGTTGATGTTGGTGGGTTGGTTGGTGTTATGGAGGGCCGGAGAGAGAAGGTCGGTCGTGTGATGCCTACGAGACGCGACTGTTGAAAAGCCGGTACGTGCTTGATTGGGTTGGTACCTAGTACAAGCCACCTTTCTTAAGGTAGGTAAGGTAGGTACCTTATCTCCCGCTATTATCGATCTAGTGGCGTTGACTTGTGGCTCGAGCTCCCCTCTACGAGGTAAGCCCCCCCAACCATCAAACTACCACTATTCACACTGCAAGGTACTCCGTCATATCGGTAGGGAGAATTACAGAACACTTCGTACAATCCCCAGAAATTCCTTCCAAGGTCCCTTTTATAACCGCCTGGCCCTCTGTCTTCGTATTATGGAGGAAGATTCTTCCACTATGCCGCTGGACAAGCAGCGGCACCTCCGCTACTGGCAGCGCTGTCATCGGACCCTCCTCCCAACCCAGTACACCAGCCACGACAGCACTCGGATGGCTCTGGCCTTCTTTATTATCGCTGCTATTGATCTGATTTCGCCGCCGACTTCCTCTGGCGAGCCACCATATCTCACGCGGAAAGACCGTTCCAAGATCCGCTCTTGGGTCCTCAGTCTCCAGCATCCCGGCGGTGGCTTCTGCGGCTCGCCGACCCATGCTTCCCCAGCCGAGGCGCGGAAACATACCGCCCAGCAGACCGGCACGGCAAACCTCGCAGCCACGTATTTTGCTCTCCTTTTACTCGCCTTGGCTGCCGAGGGAGATGGCCGGCATGCCCTCGACGGCGTGAATCGTCGTGAGACCCTGCGTTGGCTGAGAAGGCTGCAACGACAGGATGGAAGCTTCGGGGAGGTTGTGTTAGATGATGGGTCGATTGCCGGGGGACGGGACATGCGGTACTGCTACCTGGCCGCTGTGATTAGGTGGTGTCTTCGCGGAGATGCAAAGGAAGGGGCTGGGGCCTGGGTGGAGGACATTGATGTTGATGGTCTGGTGGAACATATTCGTTGCGGCCAGACCTTCGATGGAGGGGTTTCTGAGAGTTCCCAGCACGAGGCACACGGTAAGGCTTCTTCGGTATCTGTTATCGGTATCTGTTATGCGGTGTGTTCCTGGGAGCATCGGGCTAACGGGATGGCGCCAGCGGGGTACGCTTACTGCGCCGTCGGGGCGCTTTACATGCTTGGCCGGCCCCTCGAAAAGGACGGGGAACCCGAGGAAAATGGCCCCCTCGACCGCGGCATTCCCCATTTCGACGCGCTGGTCAAATTCCTCGTTGATCGGCAATTCGCATTCCTCGAGTCGCCACAAGGGCACGGGGATGATTCCGAAGATGACCAGGATTCAGTCAATTTCGCCCTCCCTTCAGCGTTGGAAGATTTGTCACTCGAGGAGAACACCACGTTCGTTGGCTTCAACGGCCGCTGCAACAAAGTCGCCGATACCTGCTACTGCTGGTGGGTTGGCGGAACTCTGTCCGTACGTCTCGTCTCCTCTCCTTTTGCCTTCCGGTCAACCAACAAGGGACTGGACTCTGCTAATTCTCGCGGGCAGATGCTCTCCCAGGTGAACATTCTCTCCGTGCAACCCGCGCGCAACTTTCTCCTCTCCAAAACCCAGCACCTCATCGGCGGCTTCTCCAAGTACCCCGGGGGACCTCCTGATATCTACCACTCGTACCTCGGTCTCGCCGCCTTGGCCACCATGGGCGACGCGACTTTGAAGGGGTTTGATGCACCCCTTTGTGTCAGCGCAGAGACGGTACGTAAGCTGGAAGCTGCGAGGAGGGTCTTGGTCGCTTCGGATGAGGCGCGGGGGACTTGGGCGGCGAAGAGTCGGTCCACGGCCGATGCCTTCTGGAAGGGCAAGGAGCCGGTTTGGGTAGATAAGGAGATTGATGCGGATACGAGAGAGAGATTACGCCAGGCTTTGCATGCTTTGCGGTGAGTTGAGATGGTCATCAAGATAACCCCTGTCTTTGTATGCTACCATGGATTCTGGGTCCGGATGCTGTTTTCGACCGGCCAGACTGTCAGGTGTATCATAAGGGAGCAGCAAGAAAAAGAAGTGTATATGGGATTCCTGGCCGTTGAATCCCTTATTCATCATATGTACATTGGTAGAAAAAACACCCAGAGGCCTGTATGGACCCTTGAATACCCCATAGCGTTTCTGCTATTCAAGTTGCTAGATCCTGGCAAGTGTCTATAAGTGACTCGCTTCGTGTTGGTATCAGAACGTCGTACTCCAGAGGGAAGAAGAACAAGGAAGAAGAAAAAAAAGGAAAGAAGGAAAAAAAAAGGAAAAAAGAAATGAAGACGGAGAAATAAAAATGGAGAAATAAAAATGGCGTCTCAGACTGCCGTTTTCGCCTCCAACGCCGCATGTTGGGATACGGGTGGAGGTATGACTGCAGGCGACGGCAGCGGAGAAGGGCTTTCCTCACGATCATTACCACTCCCTTCCCCCAGACTGGTCCCGTGTCCAAGTCCCTTTCCGTCGTCCTCCTCCTCAATAAGTCGCTCTTCGACCCGCTCACCAGGCCCGGCAATCGTAGGCGTGAAATTATCGACCTCCTCGATGTACTCGTCGCCCCCCGCGCCGTGCTCCTCATCCTCCTCCTCCTCTTGTATCGTAATCTCGCCCGACCTGCGGCCTAACCCCGACGAACTCGCAGACCGCGAATGTGTCCCCGACCCCGTGTTCCTCGTCCCGTGCCCGCCCGACTGCATGGGCCCCTTGAAGAGGTTCCGCTTTCGCTTGGCGAAAAGGACACCCCCCGAAGCGAAAGGGTTGGGCGACCCCGGGGGTTGCGGTTGCGGCGACGACGGCAACGGCATGCCCTCGTTGAAGACGGAGATGGGCGCGGGGATCCCGTTGCCCCTGACGAGGCGCAGGTTGGAAGGGAAGGACAGCGCGACGGGCGGGGCGGGAAGCACCTTGACCGAGTGGTGTGGCGAGTGGCCGCGCTGGAGGGGCGTCTTGGAGGTCGACACGGATCCGTTGGAGCTTGTCGACGAGGCTTTCGAGTGCGTGTGATGGTGGTGGGGCATGGAGCGGATGGAAGAGACCGACGACGAGGTGGACTTTCGCCCGCGCAGGCCTGCGGATGAGCGCCGCATGGTGGACCGGGGTGTCAACGGAGACGGCGACAGAGACTGCCGTTTATAGGCTGTATTCGTGACGATCCTCGGAGGCGCCTGCCCCTGGGTCGCTCTCGTTTTCCTCGATCCGTACGAGCCAGAGCTGTTGTGGCTGCCTTGGGGCTGGGGCTGGGGCGACGGTGACTTCGTCTTGGCGATGTGACCGTTAGCCACTACGCCACGCGGCAACGAAGCCTTCGTCTTGGGACCCCCCGATGAGTCGGTTGTGGGGTACTTGCTCGTCTGTGGCCGTGGACTCGGCTCCTTGGAGCGGGAACGCTTGCCGCCGGGACCATTCCCGTTCCCGTTCCCGTTCCCGTTCCCGTTCTTGCCGTGGAGGTTCGGGGTCGAATGGCTGCCCTTCTTATTGGCGTTCTTGGCCCTCCGAGTGTTTTCAAAGAACCAATGTGTCCAATTCTTCCACGTGGCCACGATCGCTTGGGACGGCTTCTTCCTCACTTTCTGCGGCTCGCCCTCTTGTTCGGTCGATGTCCCGCCAGGAGAGAGAGCATCCGACGTGGTCACAAGATGGAGAGTGGACCCCCTGGATCGCGCGCTGCGGACCACACCTTCTTTCGGCGGTGGGATGGGACGACGGTGGCGGGACGTGCTGACCGAGCGGATGGAATCCTTGTCTACGGGCGGAGGGGCCACATCCGGACTCGTGTTGCCGCTCTCCTTGCCGTGTTCCGGGAGGCCAGGCAGCTCAAAGTCGGCGTAGTGCGCACTGCGACGTTCGGACCTACCGCGCGTTCGGGGCGTGTGCATGTGCCTCGTCACTCGTCCGTCTTCGTCCATCTCGGCAAGCAAGGCCGACATCCTCTCGAGCCTGCTCGACGCAGCGGATAGCCGGCGGAGACTCCTGCTGTCGGTGTCCCTGTCCCGTCGCTTCTGCTCCCGGCGGCGCACCTTCCTCTCTTCCTTCTCGATCAACAGGGACCACCATCCGGCTAGGGCGTCGCAGCGCTGAGAGAGGACGCTTTCGATGACGGCGTCGATGTTGACTCCCGCGCCCTTCATGCGATGCAGGGTCTCTTTTTCCAGGTGAGTGGAGAATGGCGGCGGAGCTTGACGTTGCAGTATCGCCTGCTGCGCGGCCGCATGCTCGGAGAGGAACGGGTGGGCAAGGATGTCGGGGAACGATGGGCGGAGAAGTGGTCGTTTCGAGAGGAGGGACTTGATGAGAGACACGGCGTCCGGTGGCAGGTGGTCGGGATAGTTAGGTTCTTCGGTCAGGATCCTCCTCCGGGTCACGTTATCGTCGTCGTCGTCGAAAGGCAGTTCACCGCACAACAGGGCATAAAGGATGACGCCCAGACTCCAGACGTCGACTCTTTCCCCGGCATATTTTTCTCCCTTGAGCATCTCGGGTGCCGAGTAGCAGATGGTGCCGCAAAAGGTCTGCAGATGGTTCGACTTGCCCTCGTACTCGCGGGTGAAGCCAAAGTCGACTAGCTTCACATTTTCGTGTTTGTCGAAGAGGATATTCTCAAGTTTCAGGTCGCGATGCACACAGTTTTGCTGATGGACGTAGGACACGCCCCCGACGAGCTGGGTGAAGACCTTTTGCACCTTGTCGACGGGGAGAGGGCCATGGTTGAGTAGGTAGTTGTATAGTTCGTCTCCTGATGTTCGCGTAAGCTTATGACCTGACCCCTGGAGGAGTTTTTTTTGCGCCCGGGTTGGCGTATTGCTAAGGGATCCGGAGCCAGCTACCTACCTGCGCAATATTCCAAGACCAACCAGACGTGGTTTTCTGTTACAATGACTTCGTATAGACGGGCGATGTGGGGGTGGACGAATTGACGGTGGTGATGGATCTCACGAGCGAGATTGGAGTCGCCTTTGTTGGCCGATTTGAGTACGACCTGGTCGACAGAATGTCAGCGTTTGTTTGGTCGTCTTTGGCTGTGTCGGTGACGGGGCGTTGGAGTTCAAGCAGACCTTGGAATTATTAATGAGCTTGTGGCTGGCAAGGTAGACTTTGCCAAAGGAACCCTTGCCAACTAGGCGCCCGAGAGTGTAATTGCCGACGGATTTGAGATCTTTATTGGAAAACTCGCTGTATACGGGTTCAGAGGGTCAGTATGAAGGTGTTTGCTTTGGTCCCAGAACGGAGAAGATGGAAGATTGAAGCATGGGAGAGGTCGAAGGTGCTGACATACTCGAGAAGCTCTTGATACGAGTTGGCGAGCTAGACAGCAAAGAAAGATCGTTAGAGATGGTGTTATTTCGAAGAGGAATGCTGCGAGGGCGGCGAGATGGGCAAACGGGGGAAAATAGGAGGGGGATCGGCGGCGAACCTTGGCCTTGCGACCATGCAACTCGGCCTTCCCCCTTGCCGACTGCATTCCTCCACGACCTCACGTAGCTTCAATTCTCGGCCAGGGGGTCGCCTTTCGCAAGCTGGACTGTTATAGACGTTGGAATCGGGGAATTCCAGGGGTGTTGGTGTTGATGAGAGAATGAGAGACGGGTGGACTGGACGGTTGGTTCGGCTCGAGGTTGTTGCCTCCCGGGAGAGGATCAGCGGACACGACAGGGGAACATATGCGTAGCGGTATCGATGTAGAAGGGATTCGAACGGTTTGGCGAGGTGTGAGGAGCATGAGTTCGATGTCAATGGTCTTTGGTGGTGGTGGAACGAAGTTTCGACGGGTTTGGATGTGAAAACGGCCTTGGGGCTCTGGGCTCGGGGCGTACAGCGTAGATAGAAGGGTACGAAGTATTCCGTGATTCCGTGAATAGAACAGATATCGTTCTGTCGTGACCCGGTAAATGACTGCGCCTGTATCCTGTATTGCCCAGCTACTGTGGGTCTGGGGAAGCGAACTTGAACTTGGGCGATTTTGAGCTCAGGTCTCAGGTCTTAGGTATAATGACGGTGTGGAAAAGGTGGTGGACGTGAAGGAATTCAGTAGGGTAGGTGTGAAGTATTAATTACCTGCATGAATAAGGAGAAAGTACGGAAGTACGGACTAACTTCCACTGGGACGTTGACAGCACCTTGTTGTACGTTGGATCCGTAATTACTTCGTACTCGTACAGTTGCAACCCAACGGAAAGCTGTGGCGTCAACACCATCATCCGCTCTTCTCATTGGCAGTTTGCCCACTGCCCCATTGCCCCACTACCCCACTGCAAGTGTGGCTGTTTTCCGTACACTATTTCACCCAAATACTCCCAAAGTACCACATACACGTACACCTACCTAAGGCACCTTAGACTCCGACTCCGTACGCAGGAGACTCAGTCTATGTTAGGCCTAGGATTGTATGACGAAAAGCCATAAGGATGCATGTCTTTTCTGAGAGTTAGGTATTTGGACGCTTGTGTTTGGGTTCTTTGTTAGCTTTGTACCTCGTATTAATGGCTTTCTACCTCTACCTTAGTGCGTATGGCTGGTAACAGACACAACCAAGCTAAGCTGCTCCGTAAGGTAGTCAGGTACCGTACCCGTACCCATATTTCCGTATAAAGGGAGCTACTCGGAGAGATCCTCTACACTGTACTTCAATCCTCGTCGCCACCATCACTCCTTTACTTTATTTATATTGCTCGGCTCTCGGTTTTCCTTTCTTAACCGCGACATGCAGTCTTCCCTGGCTTCTCTTATCCTCACGGCTGCCACCCTTTGGCCGCTCGTAGCAGCTTCGTTAGACGCCCAGCAACCGCTCGGAGTTTCATCAACCTCGCCGCCAGTAGCTGCGTCACACTCTCCGGACGCGCCCTCTTGGCGAGATGACCTTCTCACCTTGCATCGTTCCCTCGTGGAAATCCCCTCCATCTCCTATACGGAAGGCAGGGTTGCGCACTTCCTCCAGGACTACCTGACCCAGCGTGACTACACCGTCTGGCTCCAACCTGTCCCACAGCGGAACAATACGCCAGGGCCCGACGAACCCCGGTTCAACGTGTTGGCCTGGAAGAGCGCCAGTCCACACCCCTCAGCCAGTATTGTTTTGAGCTCTCACATCGACGTCGTGCCGCCCCACATTCCCTACGGCATCGAACCCGGGCCCATCACCCGCGAGACGAGGATCAAGGGCCGAGGCAGCGTCGACGCCAAAGCGAGCGTGGCAGCCCAGATCCAAGCCCTCGAGAACCTCCTCGCATCGGGCCACGTCGGCCGGGACGACGTGTTGCTCCTCTTCGTCGTCGGCGAGGAGGACAGCGGCGACGGCATGCGGGCCTTTTCCGGCTTCCTGGACGCCATGGACCCGCGCCCCCAGTTCGACGCCGTCATCTTCGGCGAACCCACCGAGAACAAGCTGGCCTGCGGCCACAAGGGTGGGCTCTTCTGCGGGTTGACGGCTAGGGGCGTGGCGGGCCACTCGGGGTACCCTTGGCTCGGCAAATCGGCCAACGGGCTCATGATCAACGCCCTGGCGAAGATCCTCAACACCGATCTCGGTAGCGATGATTTGTTTGGCAACACCACTGTCAATGTCGGTATCCTGGATGGTGGTGTAGCTGCGAACGTCATTGCCGAGAATTCGTTTGCGAAACTCGCCATCCGCGTGGCTATTGGACCGCAGGATGACGGCGGGAAGATCGTCTGGGACCGAGTCCTTGCTATTCTCAATGAGGTCGATCCCGAGGCCTTTACTTTGACCTGCTCGCATGACTATGGAGTTGTTAAAACCAACTGTGACGTGGATGGTAGTGTTGCTCCCTCCCACCGCCCTGGGCGGCCCAACCCCCCTCCCTCCTTTCCTTGGTCTCCTCGAAAAGAAGGAAGAGTGGAAAAAAGAAAATGAAAGAAAAATGAAAGAAAAATGAAAAATGAAAAAAATGAAAAGAAAAAAAAATGAAAGAAAAAAAGAAAGAAAAAGGGGAAAAGATGAGAGAAAGGAAAGAACACGCACCCTACTAACCACCTACCACTCTATATAGGCTTCGAAGTGGCTGTGATGAACTACGGCACTGATATTCCTAACCTCAAGGGCAGCCACACCCGTTACCTCTACGGCCCCGGGAGCATTCTTGTGGCACATGGCGACAACGAGAACCTCACCGTGGCCGACCTCGAGACCGCCGTAGAGGGCTTCCAGAAGCTGATCCTGCATGCGCTGTCTAACTAATTTTGCGGTTCTGGTTCTCTCTTGTTTTCTTCTTCTTTTTCTTTCCGATCCATCCCTTCGGTTTCTTGTTTTACTTTCTTATTTTTCATCGAGTTGGTCAGGGTCACCTCGCAACAACCTTCTGCCACCTTTCCGGCAACAGCTCACTGAAATCAAACCTGCCCTCTGCATTCTTAACCACCGCCCCCTTCTCCGTCACCACGGCATCGATCAGCTCGTGAGGCGTCACGTCGAACGCCGGATTCCAAACCCCAACCCTCTGGTCGGCCGTCGCCACCCGGGCCGTCTCGCTCGCGTCCACACTGCCATCGGCCCGGACAACAGCGCCGGATATCTGCGTCAGCTCCTCCTTCTTCCGTTCTTCGATCTTGATGCCCTCCCCCGTCTCCGTCTCCAAATCGATGCTCGTGGTCGGCGCCGCCACGACAAACTTGACACCGTGGTGTTTCGCGAGCACCGCCAACTGGTAGGTCCCGATCTTGTTGGCCGTGTCCCCGTTCCTGACCACGCGGTCCGCGCCCACGATGACGGCCGCGATGTTCATCTTCTCCTTCTGTAGGGCGAACAGCGCGGCCGCCATCGAGTCCGTGATCAACGTGGCGGGGATCCCCTCGTGGACCAGCTCGAACGCCGTCAGGCGGCTGCCCTGGTTATATGGCCGCGTCTCGGTGCAGTAGGCATGGCGCAGCAGGTCCCGGGCCTGCAGGGTGCGGATGACGCCCAGGGCGGTGCCGTGGCCGGATGTAGCCAGCGAGCCGGTGTTGCAGTGCGTCAGGACGGAAACCTTCTTCTCCGGGGACGCGAGCACGGTGTCCTTTAACCAGTCGGCTCCATAGGCACCGATAGACAAATTGGTCTGCAGATCCTCCTCCAAGATGCGCTCGGCTTCCTCGATGCATGTCTTGATGATGTCTTCGGGACTTTCCCCTTCGCCAGCGGCGACTTCGTTCGTCCGGGCCTTGAGTCGGTTTATGGCATTGGTCAGGTCGACGGCTGTCGGTCTGCTCTCCTTTAAGTAATCGAGCCGCGAGTGGATGTAGGAAAGAACGGAGGAGGAGGAGGTCTGATGATAGCTTCCGTTGTGCAATTCGACGGCGTGCGCGAGGCTGGCGACGATGGCAATGGCGGGTGCGCCCCGTACGCGCATGGATTTGATGCAGTCGAAGGCCTCCTCGCTCGTCGCCACGTCGTCGTAGTGGAATTCGTGGGGGAGACGGAGTTGGTCGAGCACCTGGAGACTCCCGCGGGAGTACTTGACGGCTTGTAATGTCGACATGATCGCGGGGCCGGACGTGTGGAATTAGGGGAAGCGGGAAGTAATGGGAAGATGGTGATTTGAGAGGGGAGAGGGGGGGGGGTTAACCACAGATTATGGTAAGCTTGGTTCGTCTCCGTATCCCAAGCTACACTGTAAATACTGGGTAATTGTATGGAATACGAAGTACACAAGAGAATAGGTATATAGCGCAGGTGTCCCTCGTCGTCGCCCTCAAGTTCCAACACGTGCTTGTCTTTTGCTCAAGTTTTGCCCCTCAGAAAAGTTTCTGCCGGACCCCTCAATGCAATGACGCTATATCTTTAAGCCAATCACCTTATCGGACGTCTTCACCGCTCGTCTCGGGTGGGTCGACGAAGTGTCTTCAGTGGAGCAAGCTGCTGCCAGCTGCAAAGGACTGTATCAGTAGAGTACATCTTATCAGTCTCGACGACCCTAGGGAAGGTTAGCTCTCACCGAATCATCAGCAAAACAGCTCCAAAGACCGTCTTCATTTCCTCGACCCCTTTGAGCTTACGAACTGTGCTCTACCACCCGTCTGCCTTTTCACCGCACGACGCATCACCGAAAGAGATACCACCAGGATGATACGTTGTACATAATGGAGCAACCTTTCTCGACCTCCAAAGTCACTGGTACGTTGTTCTGTCCCTGTCCCTGTCCCTGTCCCTGTCCCTGTCCCTGTCCCAGTGCCAGTCCTTTGGTCTCCCTCGAACATCTTGAACTCTGAACTGACTTGTCTCACCGCTCTCGCGTTCTTCCTCTCTTTCTAGTCGAGTACTACGATCCCCATGACGTATATAAGCTCTTAGGCCCGGGCATTTTGCCTCGCCTACCCCTCCGAAACCTCCATTGGCAATCCCATGCCGGACCTCTCCGATCCATCGACGTCCTCTACGTCGAACTTGTGAACGCCTCCTCGAATGCGCCCGCTTCCATCGCCTCCCCCAGCCTCCTGAGACGGTCTACTGGTGCAGGCCTGTCAGACGATGGCTTCCAGACACAGCCGATTGGTGGTTCCAAGAGCGCCTCGTCCGATCAGATCGACACCCCCACCAGCATCCACACACCAACCGGGCCGGCCTCGCAACAGCCAGGCAGAGAGCGCCGACACCAGATACCAGGCCTTCGACGCACGCCATACCTCAAAGTCCTCCTCGTACGATGCGACGATAACGACACGTACAAGTCCACCACCCGGGCCGAAATCCGCGAATGGATCAAGGAACATACCCCTCCGTCCCAGAGCACGCGCAAAGTCAGCACCCAGGAGAACCATGACGCCTTCGAGTGGCTCATCGTCCACGTCGTCGTTCCCAACACCGCCGCCGCCAACCAGCCAAGGCTGAACGGCAAGAACGCCGACGGTGCGCCGGGCGAAAAGTCGTCCTCGAGCTCGCGATGGCGGACCGGGTCCAGCACCCTGCTGGAGAAGTTGCGCGCCGACTTCAACGTCGCCGGCAAAGGTTCGGGTCCCGTGGACCGCGTCGCACAGATCAGGATTGGCATCAATGACGTCCCCTACGACCTCCTGCCCCGCGTGGTGCCCGCCACCCCCACCGGATACTCCGAGTCGGAGAAAGATGCGGAACATGCCTGGGACGAGCTCATCGCCAAGTTCAAGAGCTTGATCCTGGCCTCGTTTGACATGAGGGTCACCCAATACGAGGAGGATATCCGGGAGAAGGATGCGCAGCGTCGTCTCCCCGGCTGGAACTTTTGCACTTTTTTCATTCTCAAAGAAGGCCTGGCCCGTGGTTTTGAGAGCGTCGGCTTGGTGGAGGATGCCCTGGTTGGCTATGATGAGCTGAGTGTCGGCCTCGACTCTGTCATCCACGAACAAGTCGCTTTGGGTGAGCCGGAGAGGCACGGGAGTTCTCTCCTCTCCCACACGGAGGAACTGAAGCAAAAGGTAGCGCGTGCCCTCGCGTCTGCGACCGGCGGTGGCGCTGCACCTGTCGAAGACGAAGAGGCCGTGGATCTGCAGGGCGAGAGCAAGATCAAGGACGTCGCACCTTCTCTCGATTCCACCCTTGACGAATTCCTCATCAGCTCCACGAGGAAGCCTTACAGGGACATGATCGTTGCCAACAACGTGTCCGTCTTTGACTTTCGGTGCTACATCTTCGCCCGCCAGATTGCCCTTCTTCTCCGCCTCGGCAACAGCCTGTCCGCCAAGACTGAGCTCGTCACAGGGCCCCAGCAGCAGGTGCCCGCATTAAAGCCGTCAGAGGAGACCGAAGTCTTGTCGATGCTAGCGGAGGTTTGTCGCCGGACCCTGCAGTTTATTCCGGCCATCTCCCAGATCATGCGGTCCGACCTCGTCGCGTCGCTGGGAGGAGGACGAGGAGGAGACAATGGTACACAGTCGACGCTTTCCCTGAACCCGGTCGCCCCCGAGGTCGTCGACAATCTGGTCTCCTCGTTCGCTTTCTCTGTCGCCCAACAAATTCTCGCACAGACTTCGACCCAGGCTCTTCCCATCCCTGCTTCCTCACTCATATCGCCCAAAATAGATGAGCCCAAGTCGTCGATTCCCGAGCCCAAGACCATGATGCATCCCGCTCGAAGTTCCTCGCTTCACATCCGCCCGAGCTCGCGACCGCCGCCGAGTCCTGGCGTCTTTCCTGGCCCCGGCGCAGGTTCCGGTGCGGGTGTGTCCGAGACCAGTGCTCCTGCTCCTGCTCCTCCTGCTGCTGCTGCTGCTGCCGCCCCTCGAGGCCAGTTTCTCAAATCCGGATTGGAAGAACTCGCTGCTAGGCGCGCCGAGCTATACGCACTGTCGCGTAGCATCCTCGAGGAATGCGGCAAGAAGAGAGGGTGGGGAAACGGCTGGGCTTCGGTACCGGACGTGGAGGAATCTGATATTGAGGAGATGGATATGGAAGACATTAGTCTCGACGACGACGATGAGTCCACCACCACCACCAGCACCACCACCACCACCACTGCCACCACAAAACCTCAGGCCGTGGAACCGTCTCTTGCCGGGGTGGAGAGCAGGTTTTTGCGCGTCGCCCTCGACAACAAGGACGATTTCTACCGCCTCTTCGAAACATTGACCGACAAAGCCATCAGGCACTATACCGTCGCCGATCACCACCACGCCGTGCAAGCCTGCTTGACCGAGCTCGCCATCCTCAAGTACCATCTCGGCGACTACGGCTCGGCCGCCTCGTACTTTCATCGAACAACGCCCTTCTTCGGGGAGAACGGCTGGAGCGCACTGGAGCTTTCCATGTTGGTCATGTACTCCCGCTGCCTCCAGGAGCTGCAGCGCAAAGACGACTACGTCCGGGTGGCGCTGAAGCTGCTGTCCAAGGCGGCGGTGGCCCAGAAAGACCGGCTCTCGCGAAAGAAGCTTCGGGGGTTCGTTCCCTCAAGTCACCGCCAAGAAGGACAATCACGAGAACAACAACAGCAACTTCCAAACCCGGATGATGCCGTCCGAGGTGTTCTTGACAAGCTTATTGACGTGACCAAGGCCTTTTCCCACGAAGTGCCCATCCCTCTGGCTCAGTTCTTTAGTGACGTCCGACTGGAAGGGCACCCCGAGTATGATCTCCGGCGAGACGGTTTTACGCTGGCTGTCTCGATGCAGAGCCTACTGGCGGATGACATGGAGATAGACCAAGGCCGAATGCGGCTTGTCAGCACGACAGCAACGGCGGGGGCTACCAAGGAACTGTGGTTAGAATGTGCCACGGCTCAAGTGCTCCGACCTGGTAGGAATACGATCCGCCTATATAGCAAGGTCAGTCGAACGGTTTATGCCCCAAGATGTTGACACTGCAGATTTGGCTAACATGTTTGCGCCGTCCGCCAGACATGTGTGGCTGGCCGTTACGAAGTCGACCGGGTCAGCTTGATATCGAACAAGATCCACATGCACTACGAACGTGATATCGACTCTGAATCCGGAGTCGGCGTGACGTCGGACCTCTTCCCTCTTCCCCACGTCACCATTTACCGGCCGGCTGGATGTCTAGATTGCCAGCTGGTCGCAACGAAAGATATTCAGCTGGACCGTAGCAACACGCTCGATCTGAAGCTTCACACAGGCTGGAACAGGGTCAAGTCTTGTGATATCCGGGTTAGACCCAATACCGGGGGTCTCAGACTCCTCACGATGGACGCCCAGTTCATCGGGCCAGCTTTCGAGTTTGCGCAGCCCCCCGAGGCAGGCCTGTTTCGCTTCGGCTCGCTGTCTGCCGAGACCGCCCTGCAACTGCGTTTCCCCTACTCTACCGAGCAAGACGTTGCGACGATTTCCGCCCGGGTCGAGGTGACATACACGACTGACGACGGCACCTATTCCTCCTGGGCAGGCCCGTCCATTCCGATCAGTCTTGCGCTGGGCGTCAACGTCCAAGACATTTTCAAACACGGCGCTGTTTTCTCGCGCTTCAGCATTTCCACTGTGTCTCCCAGTCCTCTGCTCTTGTTCAAGAGCGAGCTCCGAGAATCCGAGGTTTTCCAATCTCACTTTGGCTCCGCGCCAGACAAGACGATCATGGTGTTCCCGAAGCAGCCGGCCAGCTTACTTTACAAGGTTGTCCGGAAGCCCGGTGTCACTGTCAATTCGAAAACGGCCAAGACGTTGTATCTCAAATTGCACTACAGCGTGGTGTTGGACGAAATGGTTGTGGCTACCGAAAAGTCGCTCAAGGAGGCGGCTGTCTCGGCCGATCTAGCACCCTTCACGAATGTGCTGGCCACCCACGTTCGGAAGCATCTGCCTGCGAGGTTGACAGCTTATGATCTGGAACGAGCTGCCCTCCTGGGCCAGTTTCCGACGACTGCTCTTGTGGGAACCCATCTCGAGGCTTCGTTTGCCGGATTGGGCAAAGTCCCAGGCAGCGAAAGAGACGCATCGGCGGCACTCGCTGCCCTTATCCGGGACTGGCAGCGGAGGAATCCCACTCTTCCTCTTCTCCACCCTCCAGCTGCAGACGTGGAAGAGACCCCTTCCATTCTTATCCCGGTGGACGTCCCGTCTGTTCCTGTACACTGGACCGTCGACATCCAGCTCCAGAAACCCTTGTTCTCACCACTGCTGCCCGATGGGGCAGCGACATCGTCGGCCACGCCGGTGGTGGGAATCAATCAGCTTTTGTCAGCCAGCCTTACAGTACAGTGGACGCGCACATGGCACACCGCGGCACAGGGACAGGCACAGGCACCAGAGAGCACGGCGACCAGGCAGGAATTCAGCTATGAGGTCACCACACCGGCTGACACTTGGCTCCTTGGCGGCCGGAAACGAGGTCGCATGACGGTGCCCGCGGAAGAAGACACATGCACCATGGAAATTCCCCTCCTGATGGCCCCGCTGCGCGAGGGCTGGCTGCCGTACCCAAGCGTGGAAATCCGAGAAGCCAAGTCGGACGAGCAGGGAACAGCCGGGTCGCAAGGCCCGATCGAGTTAGATTACCGCAACCTCGGGGAGACGGTGCGGGTTGTGGCGGACCGCGAGAGGGTGACATTGAGCTTAGATTCGAGTGGCCCCGGAGGAGGGCCGCTGGTTCTGGAGAGCGAGCGGAGGGTGGTGGACGGGCGAGTCGTCGTCTGAGTGGTCTGAGTGGTGTCAGTCGGTGGGGCGGCAGGCTATCAATCTGTTCCATTGGTTGCATACGTGGGCGGCCCAGATTCTTCAGAGAAAACAAGCATTGAAGGAGGTATTCAAGTGTGCTGCAGGGTCATCTTCTAGACAACGCCGCGGCGGGCGTGATGCTACACTGCGATGTTAATTCCTCGTTAATCCCGATCACCTACCTATGTGAGTGTCCTTTCTTAGGAGACGGCGTATGCTTTGGAATTGGTGTCGTTTCATCCTCCAATCTCTCCTTATTTTTCTTTTCGTTTTTTTTCCCCTTTCCACCTGTCCGTGGCGGTTGTGGCGGTTGAAACGTGAAGTATGGCAACGATCTCATGCTCGCGTTGAGGAGCATGGACTGGGAAAATAAGTCCTGATTCTCAGTGTAATCCCTGCAATTCGCAGAGAATCCAGGAGACACATCATATCGAGACATCTATGCGCGATTTAGTAGACCATCCCACCCCTTCCCCTCCTATGCGAACGGATTCGGGGACCGAAGTTCGTCATCGCCTCTCCTCGTCTCACATGACACTTCCCAGTGGCAATGAGAAATAGAAAATTGAAGGACTGCTAGTAAATGAATTATGGAGTGTTGTTACTCTGTACAATAAGTTCTGCACAAATTTCAACGACCAAGGTTCTGGTTCATTGTGGTTTCACTATCAGAGCGGGCGAGACGGCAGATATACCGAACGAAAATAGGGAATTATGCCTTCCTCGGAGGGCCGGAGCACCATCATCCGCCAACCCGATTTCGAACACACCGGATCAGAATATTCCAGGAGGTCGTCACTATTCCTACTTCGTCCTATGACCCCGGAGCTTCGTTCCCCGACTGGCGGCCGATGACCCGATGCATACGAGAAGACGGAAAATTGGGCTGGTTGGGTGAATTTACCTACCTATCACGGTTGGTTGCCAGTGTAAGTCACGATGAAAAATTCGAATAATAAATATTGAATATAATTATATAAATTCAGTCCTCTTCCCCGTCGATCATGTCTTTGAGAGGCACTCGTTAACGCTTTGATCCCAACTTTATTTCCCCTACCCGAGACTTACTTGCCCAACTTCACCATGAAGCTCCTTCCCCTGTTCGCGGCCGGCATGGCCAGCGCCCACACCATCTTCACCTCTCTCGAGGTCGGCGGCTCTAACGCCGGCACCGGCCACGGCGTCCGGGTTCCCTCGTACAACGGCCCTATTGAGGACGTCAACTCCAACTCCATGGCTTGCAACGGCCCCCCGAACCCCACGACCCCCACCGACAGGATCATCACCGTGCAGGCCGGCCAGACCGTGTACGCCATCTGGCGCTACATGCTTTCCACCACCGGCACGTCCCCGGCCGACATCATGGACAGCAGCCACAAGGGTCCCACCATGGCCTACTTGAAGAAGGTCAACAACGCCGCCACCGACTCGGGCGTCGGCGACGGTTGGTTCAAGATCCAGCAGGACGGTCTCGGCTCCGACGGCATCTGGGGCACCGAGCGGGTCATCAACGGCCAGGGCCGCCATGCCATCCGTATTCCCGAGTGCATTGCGCCCGGTCAATACCTCCTCCGTGCTGAAATGCTTGCTCTGCACGGTGCCGGCAGCTATCCCGGCGCCCAGTTCTACGTACGTGATCAGCAAGCTCTTATATCATGCATTTAGATTGGCTAACAGGACGGCGACACAGATGGAATGCGCCCAGATCAACGTCGTTGGCGGTACTGGAACTAGGAACCCCTCGACCGTCAGCTTCCCTGGAGCCTACAGGGTAAGAACTTACAAAACCTCTCTTTCACTCCCTATCATTTATCATCTATGCTTCCATCGAAGGACATGGCTAACAATAACCCACAGGGCTCTGACCCCGGCGTCAGCATCAGCATCTACTGGCCGCCCGTCACCAACTACCAGATCCCGGGCCCCCAGCTCTTCCAGTGCTAGACAGCCTAGACTAGTCACGACTTATCACAATACCTACACCCAAAGCTTGCGTAGTATCTCACAGTCTACCCCGTTTTGGTGACCTGAGAGGGAGGGGTCCGGATGATGGGTAGTGTGTCGTGCAGATGTAGATCACCAGTGACGAGGAGCATCTGCGGGGAGATCTGAAGATCATCTCCTGAACGATCGCCCGGTCATCTGTTGTGTATCTTGTGTAACGTTTAAGGACATCTGCACAGTAACGGGGCTTTATTCTTTTTCTTTTTTTTCTTCTTCCTATATATTTTTCTTTTCTCTGACTCGTAACCCGAGTTTGGAATTTTCATAGAGAACACTGATGATATACGATATGAGCACCTGATAACTTCCAAAGTCCTCGAATCCCTTTGATCAACTGATCAATGACTATAGTATATAATATTTTTACTTGGGTTGGTAATGCGAGGTCGATAAGGGTCCCAACACCCGTCAATTCTTCTCATTAAGCTCTGCCGTTTTGATATATAAGCTCAGTAGTGCCAATGATTTCGCTTATAGGCCAGACCAGTTACGGATTATGTCGGGGATTGGACTGGAACTTGGACGAACTTGGGTATCTTTCTAAAAGACGGCAATGTATAAAGTATTACCAATATCATTTATATGTTTCCTAAATGTTGTATCAAAGCTCACATATAAATTGATGGAATTGCATGCTACACTACTTAGGTACTGAGTAGGAACATGGTGGCTGAGACACTAGATCGAGTCTTCCTTCCTTTCTTCATATCATAGCCTTAATCTCCAAAGAGAACTTGCTTTGATTTCTTGCTTTTCTCACCCTTTCTACACAGAGATTACGTGCAGTAAATACAACAAGTTTATAGGTCAGGGTAAATCGATTGTCTAACTTTTCGATCTTTCGAGCTGCCTGCATACCAAAATGTCAGCAGACCGTACGGATATGCCTTAGACACTACATATGCATGCTGCGAGTAGTGTATTTATGCTTTTTGGGTTGGTCGTTCGGTTTGTGGAAAGCATTGCGTGGGCTCTCTCCCTCCTCTTTCCCGAGTGAGTCTAATCAATGTAGATCATTGCCCACCCCGGGGCTCAATCCGAAAGTTGACAATAGCCGGCAGCAGACTGGAGACAAAACAAGGCAATGATCTGTACGTCCAAGCAACGCCCAGGAAGGCTGTCGAGTCTCTCTATACGATTGGTATGCCAAGCTGCCTTGCCTGTTGGCTTGCAGTAGCCTTACAGTGATACCTTGTTTGGAGAATCGTGTTTGGAGAACTGATGAGATCGGAGGGGTGAGTGGAGAGTGAGGAAGTGGGGAAGGAGGGGAAGAGAAGACGAAACCGAGCGCGGGAAATACAAAGCCGAGTAGGTATCCGTAAAACATACACTAATGGATACAAAGTACCTTATGTCTTATGTACATACCGTGCTAAGTATTTCGTACCTGTTAGTTAGGGTAATGTACCTGCGTGCTTTCCTGCGATAGAACTTAGTACTTCGTAGTTCTCCGCACGTCTCCGGGGGTGGGGGGAGATCCGGATTCCGTAATCGATATTAGCGTTTAGCGTCTTGTTAGTGGGGATAGGACATTGGGGACTAACGTCGCCAAGGGCGATTTCCCCATACCCCCACGATGTATATGACCAATCATGGACGTATCTTGCAGTGAGGTTCAGGAACCCCGTTGTAAGCCCCAATCGCAAGCCCCAATCGCAAGCCCCATTGTAAGCCTCAATTCCCCGGACGACATACTACTGCGTCACAATGGCAACGTCCATTAAGTTTCAACCCAGGCTAATACGTCAGCCGCGAACAAGCAATATCCCACGGCCATTATGCGCTATTCTTAGCTTGTGAATGAGGTTGGTGGTAAATGTCGGAGAATGGGGACATACGGTCCGCGGACCTTGCATTACGATATTGCCCAAGACCAGTAAGCCTGCAGTTGCTCTGTTAGTCTGTCTCGATTCTCGACTCTCTCCTTCTGTCGAGGTGACGCAACCGGTCATTGCTTTTGGGTCTTGATCATAGTGTTTGCTTGCGCGTTCCCATGCGCCCGGAAAACCCGACGAGGCTAAGTACCCCAGTCGTGTATAAATACAGTCCGCTTGCTCCCGAGTCCTGAACTCCAAACTGATTGACCCGTCTTGCGTACATTTACGTTTGAGCTCAACCTCAACTGTGCTAGTGACTCTTTCAGGTACTTCTATTGATTTCATTTTATTTTCTTATTTTCTGCACATTCTTCCGTGCATTGAATCCCTGCGCTTCCAAGGTGATCCCATGAACTGACCAGACAAGACAGTGGATTTCAGACCGTGAAAGTGAAGGCCATCAAGTAAAAGAAATCAAAGCCAAAGAACCAATTTTCTTTTGAGGAAAAAAAAAAAAAAAGAAAAGAAAAGAAAAGAACACACCATGTCCCAAATCAGCCGAACCTACGGTGCTTCGAGTGTTGCTGAGCTAAAAGCCATCTACGACGATTGGGCCACCTCGTACGACAAGGAGCTCGCCGAAGACGGCCAAAAGTATGTCGCCCCGGCCATTGCGAGTGCCTACGTCCTGAATACCCTCGGTGTGAACCGGGTAAGCGACGACATCGAAATCCTGGACGCCGGCTGCGGCACCGGCCTCGTCGGCATCGAGCTCGCGAAAGTCGGCGCCAAGAAGATCGACGGCGTCGACCTGAGCCCTGGTATGCTCGACGTGGCCCGGGCTACCGGCGCCTACCGAACCCTCGAGACGGTCGACCTCTCGCAGGCTCTCCCTCGGAGGGAAGCATCCTACGACGTTGTCATGTGTGTCGGTACCATGACGCAGGGGCACGTCGGCCCAAACGCCCTCGACGAGTTTATCAGGGTGTTGAAGAAAGGGGGCTTCCTCGTGGCCACGATTCTTGGGTATATCTGGGAGACTGACGGCTATAAGGCTCGGGTTCAGGAACTTGTTGGCGCTGGGAAAGCCACCTTCATAAGCGCCGACTTGGAGGACTACAGGAGAGGAGCGAATGTTCAAGCTCGTATGTTGGTCTTGCAAGCTAATTAGATAACAATCTAAAACTACACTGACGCTGGCCCGCTTGATTGTCCGGCACTTCTTGGCAGCCTGGCGTTTGTAGTTGTTAGAATAATCGAGTCAAGGTACACGCGGAATTATCTATATTCTATTCCTCTAGATAAAGGGTATAACTATACCAGTATGGCCTCGCCACACTTCGCGTATAGATCATCACCCCCGGCCTAGCAACAGATTATATAGTGGTCCGGACCAAGTAGCTGTGTGTTGTTCAACTTCTGGATTTGGTTATTTATTCATTCAACTACCATAACGAGTGTTTAGAAAGAAAAGCAGTCGCCTCAAGGCGGCGGCAGACCTTGATTGACCTCAGTTGTTGTCGTGCCCACGCTCCCCGACATTCTATGTTCCCCAGGAGAGTACATGTAGGAATCCTAGGCTGCTCCCAGAGATGCCCCGTCCATAGTTCAAATCCTTATCGGTGGCTCTCTGGCGACTGGAAATCAAATCAGCTTAATGTGTTGGCTATCTTAGGTCTGAAGTCTTTACCGTGAACACTTCTAGGCCACGAATCCGCTCAGTGCATGTGGTGGTCGCAGTGCCAGCCATGTGGGCCAACGGCGCCAAGGGCAGCACAATTGAAGCCGTGGCCGGGAGAGACTCGGTGGCACTCTGGCTGACAGGTTTGGGCAACAACGGCATGGGCGGGTTCGGTGCAGCAGAAATACTCGTCGGGATATTCCTGGCATAGGTGCTCGATGTCGCATGTCTGATCGCGCGCAAATATATCCTTGGCTGGCAGGGCCATGACGGAGCCCAGAACGGCCGAAACGAGGACGATAGTAAATCTCATTTTGCTGGTGTTTGCTTGGGACAACGGTATGATGTGAAGAAGCTTAGCCTTGATGCCTTGCAGCGTACATGTAAGATAAGATGCTGTTGTCTACTCGATTCATTTTATAGTTGACAAGAACACGACCTGATGGCACCTGGATAGTTTCATTACCCGGGTTGCCATAATGCCGCATGCTCATGACTGACGGACGTGACTTAGGATCACGTGGCGGCAACGTGATACGTAAAAACTTCAGTTAACCAGTTCTCCGATTGTGCGAACGTGGGGGGAACTCTGGTTCCTCTAAAGCGGCGTTGAATTTTTCGTAGCACCCTGATGGACTTTGAGCACTTCTTGTGAGAGTGCAGCCTGAGAAGACGGTAATTCCCGTCGTAAGGATGTTGGGTCTTCTAAGGTATGCTCCCGCAACAGAGGGGTTAGGGTTTGCATACAATATCCCGCTCAGGGCAGGGTACTTGATCTACCCATCAAGCCTTGGGGGGTAATTACGATTCCTTCAAAGTGGCGTTCAATATTTGTGGCACCCTGATGGCTCTCGGGCACTTCTTGCGAGAGTACGCCAAAGAGCCCGACGACATCCATCAAGGTACATCAGCCACCAACATGCGATTCCAACGTTGACCGCACTGGCAGTACCTTGATGGCCACCCATAGCCCTGACAACCGCTTGGATGTGCGGCGTGCCTTCCTATTCTGGACACAATTCTCCCGCTAGTGATACAGAGAACTAACCTGAGGGACATACGCATAGGGAAACATATGTACGCAACCTCGTGGCCATGGACGACCAAAGATCATGACGAAGCCAGGGACCAGGGTCTTGGCTCGGGCACCAGCATCCAGCTGGAGAGGAGGAGATATATTAAAGCACTGCGCTCTGGGATATCTCGTCAAACCCGGGGATACCATCCCACTCGCAAGTCTGCAGGAGCTGGCAGTACCCGTCCGTCTCTGGCTTGATTCAGGATCTCTCGCTTGTTGACCCCCCCCCGCAGCCAATCATGCGGACTGCCACTTTGACTCTTACCGCCCTCCTGTGGCAGGTATGGCCTTCAATGGTCAGCGCCTTGCCTCAGGCCGACGAGTGCACCCCTCATGATGACCACTGGCACTGCCCTCCAGGCGTCCAGCCCCCGACCACCCCGCCGCCACAGCCGGACCCTACCATGACCATCACCGAGGCACCGGCGTCAACCTGCTTGTGAGTACAACCCGATAGCCTCAGATATTGGCGGTTCTGACGTCCAAACAAGTGAGTCATTGATAGACATACCTCGCCTCGCCACTTTTCCGGACGATTCCAATGAGTGGGCTCAATCTATGCGGCAAAAGTACGGCATCCAAGCAGATGACCCATTCGTGGGCTCCTCGGTTATCTACAGCTCGGGCTACTACACATGGACAGCAGGCACACGGACCAACAGCATGCTTATAACCCTGTGGTTCGACTCGGTCCCTATTACCTCGGAAGGCCTCGAAGTCATCACGGAAACGGCCGCCACAACGACGTGCACCGCCATCATAACGGCTTCCCCGGAACCAACGGCGACTCTGCCGGTCTGCGATGATAACGGTTGCAGCCCCCACGGCGACCACTGGCACTGTCCTCCTGGCGTTGAAGAACCGCCTTATATCCCAGGCGAGTGCACTCCGGCGGCCGAACCAACTACCACGTCCGCCCCAGAACCAACTACCACGTCCGCCCCAGAGCCGACAGCGACTCTGCCGGTCTGCGATGACAACGGCTGCAGCCCCCACGACGATCACTGGCACTGTCCTCCTGGCGTTGAAGAACCGCCTTATATCCCAGGGGAGTGCACTCCGGCGGCCGAACCAACTACCACGTCCGCCCCGGTTTCAACAGCGACAGGCGATCCACCGGCCTGCGACGATCACGGCTGCACCCCTCACGATGACCACTGGCACTGCCCGCCGGGCGTAGAGGAGCC